CTTTCTCCTGTGGAGCAGCTGGTGGATCAAAATCACATGCCTTCAGACAGTGAAGCTCCTCTCCCCTAGGCCAGCAGAGCTCCCAAGCCTCCCTTAATTTTTCATAGATTATTGCTGCTACATACCGTCAAGTCAGGCACGGCTCACAGCAACCCTATGAACGACAGATCTGATCCCTGTCCTATCCTCACAATTTGAGTCCACTGCTGTAGTCACAGTGTCAATCCCCCTAGTTAACAATCTTCCTATCTTTTGCCATTCCCCCACCTTCCCAAGGATGATGTCCTTTTCCAAGGAAAAGCCTCTCCCAGCAATATGCCCAAAATATGTGAGACAAAGCTTCATCATCTTTGCCTGCAATGATCACTATGGTTGTACCTTTTCTAAGACATACTGTTTTTTTCTTTTGGCAGTCCATGAGATATTCAGTACTCTCTTCCAACACCACGATTTAAGGGCATCAATTCATCTTCTGTCAACTTTGTTCACTGCCCAGGTCTCAGATGCATGACTACTGATTAAAAAGGCCAGGACCAGGGGAGTGCTGGCGGCCCAGTGGCAAGAAGCTGTACTGTAATCCCAAAGGCATGTGGTTCAAATCCACTAGACGCTCTGCTTGCGAAGGAGGGGCAATCTCCTCCTGTGCCAGTCAGAGCCAACTCAACAGTACACAACAAGAGGGGGAAGAGAAAATGACTATGGCCTGAATCAGGCACCTTGGTCCTCAAACTGACATAACTGTTCCTCACTAATTTGGAGAGATTCCTGATTACTTGGAGAGACTTTCCCAGTGCAACATGTCTCCTGACCTCCTGACTGCTGGTTCCATGAGTGTTGATTGTGGATCCAAGTGAGATGAAGTCATTGACAGTTTCAATCTTACACGATGTTGCCAATAGGTCCAGTGATGAGAATTTTTGTTTTCTTGACTTTGAGATGCAATCTAAATTAAAGGCTATAGGCTACAGTTTTTTATCTGCTATAGCAATGGCTTCAAGTCCTCCTCATTTTTAGCATAATGAAGGTTATGTATAACAAAGACTACTGATGAGTCTTCCACTAAGCCTGAGGTCATATTCTTCTTCACAGAATCCAGCTTCTTGAATAACATGCTGAGTACAAAATGTCTGTTTCATTAATTATACAAAGGCATTGGACTATGTGGATCACAAGCTGTGCCTGACTCTGAGAAGAATGGGAATCCCAGAACATTTGATTGTTCGAATGCGAAACCTATCGTCAGAACAGAGCAAGGAAACACTGCATGGTTCAAAATTGGAAAGGGTGTGCGCCAGGGATGTGTCCTGTCTCCAGACCTTTTCAACCTATATGCAGACAGATTATCCAGGAGGCTGGGCTCTATGAGGAGAAGTGTGAGGTAAGGATTGGAGGAAGATTCATAAACAATCTGCTCTATGCAGATGACACAACCCTGCTTGCTCAAATTGTGGAGGACCCGAAGCGCTTTCTGCAGAAGGTCAGGAACTGCAGCCTTCAATATGGATTGAAGCTCAACATCAAGAAAACAAAGATTCTCACCACTGGTCCAACTGGCAGCATCAAGATGCATGGTGAAGAAACCTCTCCAAAACAATGAAAAGTAATGATGTCACTCTGGAGACTAAGGTGTGCCTAATACAGGCCATGGTCTTTGCAGTCACTTGGTATGTGTCAGAGAGCTGGACAATGATTAGAAAGGATAGAAGGAGAACTGATGCCTTTGAGCTGTGGTGTTGGAGAAGAGTATTGAATATATCATGGACTGCTAAGAAAATGAATAGGTTAATCCTAGAGATGGTTAAACTAGGCTGCTCCTTGGAGGCAAGGAATTCTGAAGTTTTGTCTAACATACTTTGGACATGTTGCTAGGAGGAGCAATCCTTGAAGAAATATGTCATGCTTGGGAGGGTGGAGGGACAGCACAGGAGAGGAAGACCCTGTATGAGGCAGATTGATTCAGTGACTGGGGTAATCGGGGTAGGTGTGTCTGAGACAGTGAGACTGGCACCAGAAAGAGCAGGGTTTAGGGCTATTGTACATAGGGTTGCTATGCATTGTCGGTGACTCGACAGCACATAACAAACAACATGCAGAATGAATAGTTATGGAGAAAGAATACAATCCTGATACACAACTTTCTTAATTTTAAACCACGTAAGTGTTCCTTTGCTCTGTTCACATAACAGGTCTAGGTCTAGGTTTCACATGAGCACAATTGAGTATTCTGGGATTCCCATTCTTCTCATTGTTAGCCATTAATCTGTTATGACCCACATCATCAAATGCTACCACAGAGTCAGTAACACCCAAATAGACATTCTTTTGGTATTCTCTGCTTCCAGCCAGGATTCATATGATATCCCTGGTGACGGCTTCTTCTAAATCCAGCTTGAACATCTGGCCGTTCAAGCAATCCATCAAGATGGGTGCTTTGGCCACTCTGAATCAGGAGTCTACTAATCAGTGATATACTAAGGATAGGAGGATATTAAGAAGGTAGAAGTTGCTATTTTATAGTTTACTGAAATTGAAATTATTTGGTATTTGTTTCTGAACTCTAGTTTTCCATCTGTTCTTATTTTCTCTTAAAAGACTAACTTGCAAAAAAGACATAAATATGAAATGTTTTTATCTTTGAGATAATTTTTAACTTAACTTACAAATTAAGGATTCCTCAGAATTTGTAAAAGAAAATGCTTTGTTTAATGAAGTTATTCAATGACATATTCATCAAATATTATAACTAAAAGTAAAAGTTCTGGTAATTCAGGTAAGAATCAGGATAAAGGAAAGTCATACACAGTTTAGAGTAACTTTTAAGAAATTAATGTTTAATCTGAAAATGTATAAACACATATCATATGTTTCATTAAAAAGCAATGAAATGTGGCTAGTTTCTATTTTAAGCATTTTAATAAACTTATTTCTAGCATTAATAATGAGCTCTGGTGGCAGAGAGTGTTCGTGTTGTGACTACTAAACAAGAGGTCAACAGTTCAAATCCACCAGTTGCTCCTCAGTAGTGTTACCACCTCTGAAAACTCACTGAAGGGTCAGCTATGAGTTGGTTCTGACTCGAGGACATATGACAACAGATACAATGGTCAGTGTAGAAACCAGGAATAAATACCTTTGAGAAAAGTACTATAGAGCTCCTGAACTCAACAAAGGCCTTAGTTATAGGAGGTATGGTCTTTCCAAAGTGTTTTACAAATGCCAAGTATTACTACAAAATTAAAATAGAGGCCTTACCTAGCAATGGAGAACATAAGTAATCTCTGTTGTTTTTCTTCACTTGACTTTCTGACTGGGCCAGTGCACCTTCCTCCAGAGAGGGGAAGTCGGTGATTTCAGCCTTTCTCTCTCTCGTGTTCAACCTGGTCTGTAATGTATCCGAGGTTTGGGAAAAGTAGATTTTTCGAGGAAGACAATGCCAAGATTCCATTTTCTAAAAAAAAAAAAAAACAAACAATTTTGAAGAGAAACAGGCTAAGGTTAATACCCGAGAAACCATACACATTAGGGTTAGGGTTAATGTCCACTCCAGTAACATGTACTTACTATTAAATCACATTCCTATTTAAGTTCCAAAAACCTGCTGTCTTTGGGTTTCTTCATATATTATTCTGGTCACCCTGAAATTCTCACTATTAGTCCTTGGGCGCATGGTTCTTCTCAGCCTAGATCCCATTGTATATTTCTCTCTACACCACTTATCAATCATCTAACACTGTTTTTAAATTCTGATTTACTTACAAAGTTTGAATACACTGTTTTTCACAAAAGATCCTTCCCATTTCCTTCACCCCACACACCCATCAAATTGTGCAACCCTATGATTAACAACCTATTCCCCCATCCAAAACATATCTCTTTTATAACAATAGTAAAAAAATCTACTACCTGACTAATTTTCTAATTAGCAACATACAACTAGCAGTAACAAACACTGAAGTGCAGGGCTAGAGGAGCTAGGTGTGATGGTCAAGGGCTTGCGTGAGATTGGCTGGCCGTGACTCTCAGTGGTTTGGCAGTTATTTAATTATCCTGGCATTATTAAATGATTCAGTAATTTTTAACCTTGTGATCTGATGCTGATTGTCAATGAACAACATGCTCTTCAGAATGTAATGGACGTACAGAATAAACACACATTTTTCCTACTGTTCATGTTGTCAATACTTTTTTCAAGCAAACAGAAACTCAGATTCCATAACAATAACTCCACAATCCTCCTCACTGCTTGTCCTACCCCTGGCAGCTATAATCCGCTTTCATCTCCGCATTTGCTTTCTCTAGTGGGATCTTAAGGAACTCTTAGTGTTATGGATTTGCACTGCCAACCCAAAGGAATGTGGTTGTGGGAGAAAGATGGGCACGCTCCTCCTGTACAACTTATTGCCTCTACAAACCCGCTGGAGGCTTAGCTATGGTTCGATTCCAACACTGTCAAGAATGACATAGCATATTCAAGATTGCTATCCCAGGCATGAGTGAGCTGAAAGGACTGTACTGACCATTCTGACAATCATGTGCTCTATTTGTGCCAAAAGATAAATGGAAAAGGAATGAAGCTGCCTTCTTCAAATAAAAAAAAATTTTTTTAAAGTTTCAAGATCTAGTCTGAAATACAACTCTTGTCAGTAAATGAAAGGTGATGGATGATATCTGTATATAATACACACGCAAGACTTGTTAATCCAACTATTATTCAAATTATCTTATTGTACCAACAATTAATGCCAGAGACAAAGAAACTCAAAATGTACCCAACTTCTGCAGACTGAAACTGATCAAACATGCAATCAAGATGCATTAACAATGGGTGATTACTGTGGAAAGCTGGGGCACTTCAGTTGACAGTGTCACAGACGAGAGCCACAGATAGGCAAGGGAGTAGAGAGGAAGCTCCCACTTACTTTAAGTGTGGATCAGAAGGCCACTTGGCCAAGGGCGGCCCACATCAGGTCCTCGTGGCTGACAGGACTGACAGGCCCCAGCTCCCAGCTGGAAACAAAGGAGGACGCTTCAACAATTTAGATCCTCCCAGAAGAGCTGTGGGTGAGCATTAACATTACTGGTAAGTATATTCATTTTCTCCTGGACACAAGAGCCTACTATTTGGTCCTAAAAGCCTTCGAGTTCCCAACTCTTCTCTTAGTTGTTGGAAATGATGGAAAACATCATAAGCAGTTCCTTACTTCACCTCTGCCTTGCATGCAGACTTCCAAGCTGTAAAACAACCCAGTGGAAGACGGAATTTGGTCCAGGACTTAAGAACAATAAATGACATAGTTAAGCCTCTACATCTTGTGGTTCCTAACCTTTATACTATAATAGACAAAGTGCTAGTCAATAGGTCTTATATTTTAAGAACTACCTTCCCTCTGTAACTTGATTTGTGCCACTGTTAGAACCTCTACTTAGAATATTATTGCTTTTAATTTTTAACTCATGTACTTTTAACTTGTTAGTTAAATTTGTGTCTTCTAGGCTGCAACACTTCCATGATACATCTTCAAGGATATGAACATGTACGGCTAAGCACGACTGATAACAGTGCATCTAAATTCCAAAATCAATCTCCACAATAGTCTATATGTTTCCTATTGCCAAAGGGGCCCTTTAGAGTAGTGAGAGAAGATCTTCACCCTGAAACCTACAGTGTCCCTTTTCAGCAGGAAGTAGCTAAGAGAATATGTCGTCCCCTTTTCCTTATGAATCAGGGTGAAGTCTCTCTCAGGGAGGAGTGACAGGGAATGGCAAAGGACACACTGACAAAGATTAATCAGAACTGGCTTTGACAAGCACTGTGGCAATGGGACAATTAAAACAGACTTTCAAGGGGGGGGAAAGAGGAACAAACTGGGGGGGGGGCGGTAGAGAAAATAGTGCAACAATGAATGGATGGAAATCCAAAATCTCTGTAAATGTTCATTAAAATTAGTAAAATTTTAAAAAAAAACCAACGGGTGATTAGAATGCAAAAATTAGAAAGAAGGATGAATAGCAAAAAAAGATACAGTTTTGGTAATAAAAATAATGTGGGGTAGTGTGCAATTTCATGAATGACCAATAACTTATTAATTATAAAGATCCTTTAAAAAAAAAAAAGACGGAAACAGTGACTATACACCTGGACCTTGCCAAATGGAATACAGGAATTAAATTGACTAAATCTGGGGAAATAAACAATGAAGAAGTGCAATACCATCAGTGAGAACAAAGCTAAAGGCTAACTGCAAAAATATAACCTTTCCTTCTAATGCCTATGTTACAGAAAAAAGTCAAGCTACATTTAAAAAATTTGTTTACATTTCTAATAGGATATAAAATTGGTAACTATAGCCTACATAAACAGAAGTTCTTTAGAATAACTTTGAAGGCTAAAAAGGGATCCTGAGAAGTGAGTAGGAAATAAACTGCTGGTTCACATGAGCAGAGTTGCCAAAGAGCTATTCAAAACTGAAGTCTGAGGGCTAATTCACCGCTCTCTTCATGGTTATGCAAGATTCTCTGTTCTACTCATCAAAGGAAGCTAGTGAGGGCCAGAGGACGACACACCTGACCCCCTCCAGAGGCCCTGCAAGTTATCTCTCACACACCATGTTAATGGCAGAAGACTGTAACCTCTCATCGCCTGGACGTGGCGACTGCTGCCCTATGTGACAGCGGAATGGAACCACCTAAAACCGATGGCAGATTTAAACGAAGTGATACAAACACTGCCATTATACAGTCATAAAATATTCAATATCAGCATCATTCTTCTCCACTTAGTGCATTTTTAGATACAGAACTGCATTTGAACCACACAACCACTGCTAAAGTAATTATTCTCACTTAAAGATACAGAGAGATAATACGGTTATGTTAGGGAGGACTCAAAATACTTTCCCACAGCAATTCTCTAACCTCATTCATATACTCTTAGGAAAGAAATAAGAGAAATGCTGGTTTTTAAGTGTAACTACTTAAGACAGCTGAGAAACCATCCCTAACAATGGGGACCCAAATCAACCTCATCACATGGGCAGGGGGGACCACAGCCAGGCTCAGTGTGTGAACGGAGGGATCTGGGCAGCATTTTTCCCTGTGAGGAAGATCAGAGCCCCCCCCCCCACTGAACCCCCTCCCCGTCCCTGACAGATGAAGCCACGCAATTGGAACAAAGCACAGAACCCTGCTCTAGATGCCCAATGGTTCAGAGGCTGGTTTCTGATTTTTACCAGAATTCCAGCTGATTTCCAATGTAATAATATCTTTTACTAAAGATGAAACTATAGGAGGAAGTCAGAAATAACCACAAAAACACCAGGTAAAAAAGTGTAGACAAAGAGAAGACAAAACAACACTCCCTTCAACAATGAGATTTCAAACTGCACACTAGGCACGCTGGTGGCCTAGTGGCAAGAAGCTGCACTGCAATCACAGAGGCACATGGTTCAAATCCACCAGACCCTCTGCTATAGAAAGAGGGGCAATCTCCTCCTGTACCAGTCAGATCTGATTTGACGGTACACAAACTTCACACTGAAAGCACTTTAAAATAAGAATACAGCAGATTCTAAAAGAGAAAAATACACAAAAGTGAAAAGGCAGCAAATGTGTTAAGAACAAGATGACACTTTACATCTAGATGGGGGTTATTAAAAAGTTGAGATAAATGTTTGATAAACCACAACTGAAAAGAAAGAAAAAGAATGTGGGCAGGAAGTAAGTGTGGCGACTCTGAGTGGAGGGAATGGCTAGCACACCTCGCTGATCATCCACCTGGAGACACCTTCCGAGACAGGCCTGAATACCTACTTCTAGAATAAAGCTGACCCTGAGAGCTCAAACCGCGGTGCACAGCTCTGCCAGGACAAGCATGGCGGTGGGAGTCAACTGGAACCACGTGGAGAGAACACAGAGGGGGAAAGGTAGAATTAAGGATTTGGGATGCTCTGAAGGACCACAACATTGGCCTTTTAGAAGTTTTCGAGGAAAGCACAGCAAAATCGATAAAGAGGCAGTATCTGAAAATTACTAAGAGATTTACTTCAGCGTGATGGGAAGTGAACCAGATCAGCCATGCCCACTTGTTTCTGGGAGGATGGGTGAGACCTTGGCAAAACCAGTTTGTGATATGCATAACTGACCTCAAAATTAATTAAACGAAATCCTAACCCAAATGAGAAACAGGGAGCTAAAATACCAGAGCAGTAAGTGAGCTATAAAGATGGGGATGAAGCTTGCATCTGCTTTTCTACCAGACAAGAGGCTCATTTGCATAAGGGCTAATTCCAACTTCATAAACACCGCCCCGCACAGGACTGAGTCCTCACCAAAGGGCCTGGACAAGAACAACTACGTGTCTTGCCTTAGATGACGTGGGCACAAGAAAATAGGATGAAAAAAGTTGTCTGAAAATTTGAAACCACAAAGCTAGATCTTACATGTGTTCTA